CGGGCTGTCGAACCGAATCTTATTGACGTTTGCAACACGACGAGCCAGCGATCCTCAATTGTCCCTCCCAGATTACCCCTGAATAACTACTTTTTCGACTGGCACCCTCCCAGAGGATGCGCACACGGTTGCTGTCCACACCGCAATCCACGGGATGGCTGTAAATGCGTTCTAGTCCCCGAAATAGTTCCACCGATTCAAACGGTGCCGTGCCAGCGATAAACGCGGAAATCTGCGGTTTTTCCGATGTGGTAAACTCTGCTCCCATCAAGTGTCCTGTCGCTTCGGTGTGCATCAAAATCCGTGCTCCCGTTGTTGCGTAAATGCGTCTATCTTTATACGCCGAAAGCACCGCCGGAATCGTCAATTCGGCGCATACACAGCTGCCAACCCGGCTTTGGCATAACGCCGGTGCTGGAAGCCCGGCGTATCGTTTCCCGGACGACCATTGTGACTGTCGCTGCCTCCGAAAAAGCCCATTTTGTAATTCCGTTGAAGTGCCTCGTGCAAAATCCACTCGAACGTCCCATGGTCGGACGTCACCTCTACCGCTGGCTCCAATGCGGGAGTCATGGTAGGTCAAATCCGAGTGCTCACCACCAACGTGAGCGGTAATCACTGCGTCGGAATTCCGGAAAGCCTCGTAGACATCTTGGATGTGATACAGATCCGTATCAGCGTCCGACTTGTCTTCCAATCCCTGTGGTCGGAGCGACGAATGGGTTGGTCATGTCGCCGGAAATACACATTGTGATGCCCACCCCGGTTCGTATTGGCTGACCACTCGTAACCGGGCAGAGCCACAAACCGTCCGGGTTGATCGTAAGCACGTTCTGCCGTCTGTTGTAACGCCCAGTCCCGCTTGGACAGCACATGATCGTTCCGCTGATAGCCTGCGAAGTGGATTGCGGCGACATCCCGGGCGTACTGAAAGAAATCTGGGATCTTCTCTGCCATCGCCACCTGTCCGCCGTGAGAATCCCCCCAGTAGAGGTTATAGGGTGCCTTGGTTTCCTTACACAGAGTTGGATTGCTCTGTGCAGTCAGCCCTGCTTTTTCATCGACCGCTGTCAGTCGGTGAATTCCCGTCTGCATAACAGTGCACCCGTCGATCCACTGTACCCCCTTATCCGCTTTGCCAAACCTTAGCTGCTCCGTCGGCACCCTCACATTCACTGACTGAATCGCTACCAGCCCCCGGTACGCCGCGGCAGGATTTCCCCAGGCATCGTCTGCCCTGATCTGGATTTGGAACTGCTCTCCTGAACAACCATTGATGGTACGTTCACTACCAGTTTTTCCGCCTCCCCACCGACGATACTCAAGTGCGGTGGCTCAGGCAGCGTCACTATGTTTCCATCGCCGGCAGTATCCACATCTACCCAGAAATAGTGTCGTGCCTCCTGAAACGTCTGTGCCCGGAACCCCAGTCCGCCTTCGCGCCGATCTCCGTAGGTCACAGCCACCTGCTCGCCCGGTTGAAGTGCTCGACCATTCACTATCAACACCACCGAAAGCACACTCTGTACTAGCACACCTATCCGCGCAGCTTTGGGTGCTTCTATCGTCAGATAGTCTGCACCCGCCGGATCGTCCATCTGCGGTGTTGCCCGATCCGAATCCGAATCAGTGTAAATCCTTATCCACCCACCCGTCGCTACGCCCTTTTTGCCTGCGGTATAAGTCAGCGTCCAGGTCCCGTAACTACCTGCCACCACCTCTTCCCGCGGCGCAAGATGCACTCCACCGTACAGTTGATGAATGTCTGCATTAGACATGTTCAATTTCTCCGAGGCATTCATTGTAAAGACCGGATTTCTCTCATCGACGAGGACCGCAGCTTGTTCTTCAGTCATCAAGAATTGCTCCTTCTCCGCATCATTTTCGATATAGCCCGACCGGTTCGCCTCAGTTGTCTGGTTTATATATGCACCGATTCCTGATTACCCTCTGTTTTAATGCAAACACCTGTCTGCAACAGCCACATTACCAACCCTCGTTGCCGGGAATCATAATCAGTGAAACGCTGCCAATCTTATATCACAATTTATTAGGAGCGTCAACAGAAAAGCATCACACGTTAGGGGCAATCGCATGTAGATCGTGTGTAGGACTTTGGCATACGACGATGGAAATGTACTCGTAGCCACAGGTTTCCTAACCTGTGATCCCCGCGGGTTCAGATAAGGAGAAAACCGAAAACTAAATAACCTACATCACACGCTACTCGTTCTTACTTTTTGTTTTCTCCTTTCGGGCTAGATATGCTATTATGTTATCCCACTAACCTAATATGCTGTAACCTGCATACATAACTGTAGGTCGGTATCTTGCCCGACCCTAACAATCCAATGCGATTAATTCGTAGGGAACGCAGATCTGCGTTCCGTTTCTTCTAACTTGTTATACGGAGTTAAGGAGCTGTTTATGTCAAATCAACCCAAAATTGAAGATAGCGGATCTCAAATCAGAATTACTGCGCTACACGCCTTCCCCATGGGCGTCAAAGCCTATGTCAAATTGAGACTAACATGGGAGTGACAGGTTGGGGCGAGATTAATAACATGGAAAACGATGTTACCTGCCGCCTCGCAGAATCCCTCTCGGAAATCATTATCGGCGAAAACCCGACTCGCATTGAACATCACTGGCAACGACTGTTTCGCGCCCACCGCAACATCCGCGGCGGCGGATTGATGGTGCATACCATCTCCGCAATTGACATGGCGTTATGGGACATCGCCGGCAAACTCTGGAACGTTCCCGTCTACCGTCTCCTCGGTGGTCCATGCCGCGACAAGGTCTGGATGTACCCAAGTCCCAAAGCCATCAAGACAGGTCCCGGCGGTTCCAAACCGTTTGCAGGAACGCCAGCAGAGATCAAAGAGCTAGTTCAAAAGGTACGGGACGCTCGTGAACAGGTTGGACCCGATGGGGCTGTGATGTTCGACGCGCATAGTTGTCTGCCTCCCCCTATTGTGAAACAATTTGCTAGCTACCTAAAAGCCGATGATCTGCTTTTCTTGGAAGAAGCGTGGGTTCCCGGTAACATTGAGGTAATGCGGAAGATTCGCGAATCGGTCCCCGTTCCGCTCGCAACAGGGGAACGCGATCGGACTATCTGGGAAGTTCGTGAAATCCTCGAAGCACAGGTAATTGACATCCTGCAACCAGACTGTGGGCATGGCGGTGGCATCAGCCAAATGAAAAAAGTAGCAGCCCTCGCAGAAGCCCATCACGTCCCAATCGCACCACACTGTACAATGTCACATCTCGGCTTGACTGCTAGCCTACATGTGGCAGCATCTGTCCCGTTTTTCTTGATTCATGAAGGCTACAAAGGTGTCTTGCCGGAAAGTGTGGCGCGGAAGACATGGGAGATGGACGAGGAAGGCTACGTATCGCTACCAGAGGGTCCCGGCTTGGGCGTTGAGGTTGATGAAGCGTCGGTGATTGAGACCGGAAAAGACGCCGAGCGTAAGTTCACCTGGCCCGACAGCCGATTGAAAGATGGCTCAGTCGCAGATTATTAGAACCCAAGTTGCTAGATACCGAGTTTCCATCGGTTTGCTGTTAAATCTGAAGAGTTCTGCCTTTTGCTCCAGAGGAGCAATATGTCTATAGTAGGGCGATATGTTCAATCTCTGCGCTCCAGTTGCTTTGAATCCCGATCTTATCGGGGAGGAGCGCAATGTGTATAGCAGAGTTTTATCTTGTCCTTTCCCTCTCTCACTTGCTTTTATTATTTGCCCTAGCAGAGCGATAGGTGGAAACTTGCGGTATTAGATGTAGTAGAATTCCGATTGATTTGCTATGAGGAGAGGTACGCTATGAAAATAACTTCGGTTGAGAGTTTTCGTGTTGAAGTTCCGATATCTGAGGAAGAACGGCAGAAGAGATACTACAATTCTTCGGCGATTACGCGAGTCCATACCGATGAAGGAATCACAGGTTACGGATTCGAGGGAGTGGATGTCGATGTTGTCAGCCAGCTCTTAGTGGGGGAAGATCCGTTTCAAATCGAGCGACACCTTGAAGCCGGTTTGGATAAGTGGTTCGGCGCAGAAAACGCGCTGTGGGACATCGTGGGCAAAGCCGCAGGCCTCCCCCTACACAAGCTGATGGGTGCCTATCGCGATGAGATCCCTCTATACCTGACCTGTGTTTGGCCCGGCGCAGCGGATCAGACCGACGTGACCCCACAACAACAGGCTGAAGATGTTTCGCGATATTCAGAACACGGATACAAAGCATTCAAGATTCGCATTTTCCGTCCAGATCTGATGGATGATGTCGAAGCCATCAGATTAATACGCGAACGGGTTGGCGGCCGGGATAAAATAGAAGTGATGGTAGACAGAACAGGGGAATACTCGGGTTCCACTTGGGATTATGATACCGCGCTTCGCGCCGCTAGAGCATTGGAGGAGGTTGATGCCACTTGGCTGGAAGAACCCTTCACTCGCGGCGACATACACCTGCACGCCCGGCTGCGAGCAGAGACAGACATCGCTATCACCGGTGGAGAGCATCAACCGGATAAGGTGTATCGGGGATATGTTCAAGGTGAAGCGTTTGATATTGTCCAACCTCATTGTGCTAACCTAATCACCACACTAAAAAGGGTGGCAAGTATGGCTGAGATGTTTGGCATGGAGTGTATTTTTCACGGCTCACACGGGATGAATCTGATCTATTCACTGCAAGTTGCTGCGAACCATCCGCACATGCCGGATGCAAGAATTGGTCTATACAACCCCGCCAATCCTCCCTGAGGACGCTTGGTCACCTTTGAATAAGTTGGTCAAAGCCGACACACTGTACACGGTGAAAGATGGCTGCGTTCAGATCCCGCAAGGACCGGGATTGGGAATAGAAATTGATGAGGAAGCAATTGAGCGGTATCGGGTTGCTGGCTAACAGGCATGAGGAGGCAATCTTAACACCATAGAGGAGGATATACATGATGAATCGTTTCGGCTTTGATGTTTCAGGTCAACCGATTGAGGACTTGATTCGCTGGGCATCCGAAAATGGTTTTCGGTACATTGATTTTCAAGCAGACCTGCCCCCGAATGACATTGCCTCATTCGACGCCGCGCGTGTTCGGGGAGTGCGAGACCTCTGCGAAAGGCATGATATTGCCATTGGCATCCATCCATCGTCCGCTATAAATAACGCCGAGTATGTACCTATCATGGCGGAAGCGGTGGACGAATACCTGTTTGCTAACCTTGACCTAGCCGCACAACTCGGCTGCGGTTGGCTCGTCGGGCATGGAGGGTATCATTTCGGCGACGTGTCCCAACGGCGGGAAGTGGCTGTTGAACGGATGAAGCGACTGGTGGACAGAGCGGAGGAAGCAAACGTCGTTATCTTCTTTGAGAACCACAACAAAGAACCCGACCATGCCGAAATCCACTACATTCCGCACAACGTCGAAGAGACTCACTGGTTCTTCGATGCGATTCAATCGCCGTACTTTAAGTGGGCGTTCAATGTTGCCCACGGCCATCTTGTACCCGAGGGCTGGCAAGGGTTCCTTGATGCATTTGGTGTAGAGAATATTGGCCAGGTACGCCTCAACGACAACACGGGTGATTATGAGGTTCATCTCGTTCCCGGTGAAGGGACTATTGACTTTGAAGCGTTGTTTGCGCGGCTGAATGCGGACGGCTATTCCGACTGGTTCAGTCTCGGCTTTGGGAACGAAGCGGATAAAGTGCGGGTGCGGGATTGGTTCACGACGCTGGTGTGACGCAATCCACTCTTCATCTCGCTCTTTGCTCTTAATTACGCCCCGTAGATCGGGCTTCCTAGCCCAACTGCACCAATGAACTAATGAACACATGGTTTTCACGTTTCACACATCACGTTTCACGCTTTTTGCGTTTTGCACTGTCTTTTGGCATAAACCCATTTTTTTCTTGACAGTTATGGGTCTGAATGCTAACATTTACCCGTATTAAATCCGAATGAATGATGGTCGGGGCGTAGCGCAGTCCGGAAGCGTGCTTGAATGGGGTTCAAGAGGTCGCTGGTTCAAATCCAGTCGCCCCGATTTTTATCTAGAGAGGTAGTAGTGGATAACGCCAGTATCAATGTGGGGCTTCTTGGCTGGGGCACAGTCGGTACGGGTGTTTCCAAAATTTTGCTCAACCAGAGCAATCTGATTGAACAAAATGCTGGAATTCAACTCCGTTTAATCAAAATTGCAAAGCGTACGCTGCCTGCAGTCTCGGCCCCGGTGTTGAACTGGGCGCGGATTGTCTGACGACAGATCCCGCCGAGATTGTCGGGAACCCTGAGATCGATATAGTCGTAGAGTTGATGGGCGGGACCGATGAAGCGCGTCTCTTAGTCACTCAAGCTATCCGTAACGGCAAGCACGTTGTGACGGCGAACAAGGCGCTGTTGGCAGCGCACGGATTTGAGCTCTTTCAACTTGCTGATAAGCATAATGTCAGCCTGAATTTCGAGGCGAGCACCGCCGGGGGCATCCCAATAATCAAAACCCTACGGGAAAGCTTCGCCGCAAACCGCATCCATTCAATTTACGGTATCATCAACGGCACCTGCAACTACATCTTGACGGAGATGCACGAAAACGAAGTCGACTTTGACGAAGTGCTGAAAGATGCCCAAGCCAAAGGGTATGCTGAGGCAGATCCGACATTTGATGTTGAAGGGATTGATGCTGCACATAAATTGACCCTCCTCACTTCCCTCGCTTACGGCTTTGCCATGCCGATGGATGAGGTTTACACGGAAGGTATCACACATATCACGCCCAATGAGATTCAGTACGCTCGTGAACTCGGATACGTGATCAAACTCCTTGCTATCGCGAAACTTAATCAAGACCGGGTTGAAACGCGTGTCCATCCGACGTTGGTGCCCGTGCGCAGTATGCTCGCAAATGTTGGCGGTGCATTCAACGCCGTCTGTGTCATTGGCGATGCCGTTGGTCCAACCCTGTTCTATGGACAAGGTGCCGGTGAAATGCCAACAGCGAGTGCCGTTGTCGCGGATATTATTGATGCGGCGAAATCGATTAGCGGTAAGGTGAGATCTCAAGTTCCGCGTGGTTGGCTCTCCGGATCGCAAGCCAACATTTCTCTCTGTTCCCATTGATGATGTTCAAACTCGTTACTACGTCCGTCTCGTTGTTCTAGATCAGCCGGGGGTGTTAGCACAGATTAGCAATATCCTCGGAGAACACCGTATCAGCATCGCATCTGTCATCCAGAAAGAACGCCATGAAATTGACGATACTGCTTCAATTGTGATCGTAACGCATAAAGCGGTTGAGAAAAATATGCAGATGGCGATTCAAGAGATTGATACGCTTGATGTTGTCAGGGGGACAAGCCGACTGATCCGCATTGAAGAGGAAGTTGCATTTTAAGGAAATCGCAGCGAATGATCTGGAAGGGTGTCATTCATCACTACCGCGTATATCTACCGGTCACATCAGAAACCCCAATTATTACGCTCAAGGAAGGGAATACACCCCTCATTGAGGCGACAAATTTAAATGAGGTAATCGGTAACGACCTACGCCTCTACCTGAAATGCGAAGGACTAAATCCGACGAGTTCCTTCAAAGATCGGGGCATGACCGTTGCTATCTCCAAATCCGTTGAGGATGGTGCCCAAGCGGTAATGTGTGCCTCAACCGGCAACACGTCGGCGTCTGCCGCTGCCTACGCTGCCAAAGCGAAACTGAAATGTATTGTACTCGTTCCGAAGGGGGAAATCGCCCTTGGGAAATTGGCACAAGCGTTGATGCACGGCGCAAAGTCCTCGCAGTTGATGGAAATTTCGACAAGGCACTTCAGCTCGTGCGAGACATTACCGAAAAGCACCCGATTCATCTGGTGAATTCGCTTAACCCCTATCGCATTGAGGGACAGAAGACAGGTGCCTTTGAGGTCATCGACCACCTCGGTTTTCGTCCCCTGATTATCAAGCGATGCCTGTCGGTAACGCGGGGAACATCACCGCTATATTGGAAGGGATACAAAGAATATTACGATTGTGGCAAGGCGGAGAGTCTTCCCAAAAATGCTTGGCTTTCAGGCGTATGGAGCGGCACCGATAGTTTTAGGGTATTCTATTGAGAAACCGCAGACAGTCGCTAGTGCAATTAAGATTGGGAATCCCGCAAGTTGGCGAGCTGCGGAGGAAGCGCGCGATGAATCGAAAGGCTTAATCGATCGGGTGTCGGACGGCGAAATTTTGCAAGCCTATCAGATGCTCGCAAGATTAGAGGGGTTGTTCGTCGAACCTGCCTCGGCAGCTTCCGTCGCTGGCGTCATTAAATTGAATCAGAGCGGATATTTCCAGCCGGGGTCTACAATCGTTTGCATCTTGACCGGACATGGCTTGAAAGATCCGGACACTGCACTCGGAATCGGGGGAGATCCAATCACAGTGCCTGCGAGCGAATCTGCAATCCTGAAGTACGTTTATGAACCCTAAACAGCTTGTAACGCAATCTCTACCGAATCCTTAGACACGCCCTGATGCGGAGATACAAAAGAGGTTAGTAAGCGTGGGAATCATCGTCCAAAAATTTGGTGGCTCTTCTGTTGCGGATGCTACAAAAATCAAAAATGTCGCCAAGCGAATCGCACGAACACACGAGGGTGGGCACGCTATTGTTGTCGCTGTGTCTGCGATGGGAGATACGACTGACAACCTGATTCGACTTGCCCATGAGATCTCTATAGATCCCCCGGAACGGGAACTAGATATGCTGTTGTCCACCGGTGAACAGGTCTCAATTGCCCTGTTGGCGATGGCGGTTTCAGAACTTGGATACCAAGCAATCTCCCTCACAGGAACGCAGGTGGGCATCATCACCAGTGGCTTTTATAGCAATGCCCGAATTAAGAGCATCAACAAAGAGCGCATCTTGTCGGAACTTGAGCGTGGAAGGATTGTTATACTCGCGGGCTTTCAGGGAGTAACCATTGATAACGAGATTACGACCCTGGGGCGGGGTGCCTCCGACACCACTGCTGTTGCTATTGCCGCAACGTTGGGTGCTGATCGTTGTGACATTTATACAGATGTAGAAGGTGTTTACACCGCAGACCCACGTATTGTTCCAAATGCCCGTAAACACGACCAGATTACCTATGATGAAATGCTTGAGATGGCGAGGCTCGGTGCGAAGGTTTTGCATTCCCGATGTGTAGAGCTTGCGAAGAAATTTGATGTTCACCTTTGTGTCCGCTCTAGCTTCAGTGAAGCCGAAGGCACAATGGTGGTAAAGGAAGACGAGATGATAGAAGAAGTTGTCGTCAGCGCGGTGACCTCTGATAAAGATCAGGCGAAGGTATCGCTGTTTGGTGTCCCTGACAAACCAGGAATCGCAGCGCGTATTTTTCAGGCAGTTGCTGATGCCCACATCAGTATTGATATGATCATTCAGACGACAAATCCGGGGGGGACAGCCGACCTAGCGTTTACGGTTGCTGAGAAGGACCTGCAACCAACAATCAAGATCATCGAAGGACTCAAAGACCAAGTTGGTTTCACCAACGTTAGCCCGGACAAGAACATTGCACAGGTCTCGTTAGTTGGGATTGGGATGAAGAGCCATGTGGGTATCGCTGCACGTATGTTCCAAGCCCTCGCTGACGCAGATATCAACATTCAGATGATTAGCTCTTCAGAAATCACGATTTCCTGTGTGATTGATGAAAGTGAAACGGAACGTGCTGTGCGTACAATTCACGATCGATTTGAACTCGGAGGTACGTCTTCGTGAAAACGCTTGAATTCATTGTTAGAGAAATCTCTGACAGCCGATCCGCACGATACGAGGTTTGGGTTCCTCCGGCGGAAATTGACTTAGTGCTAGAAGAAGCACAGTTTGTTGGAGAGATTCACGGACATTTACAACTCTCACGCCGCGTGGAAGATGTTTATGTGAAAGGGAGTTTTTCAGCCTCGGTTGAGGTCGCATGCCGTTGCTGTATTGAGCCGTTTGCGACCAGCATTTCGGGGGACATTGAAGCCCAGTTTTGTTCAACTGATGCAGTAGCGATCCCCTCAGACCCGTGGCAAGCGGATACCGGCGAGCGATACTATTTGGGAGATACAATCGATTTATCGGAGGAAGTCCGGCAAAGCCTCATACTCGAAATTCCCAATTGGCCCCTATGCTCGGAAGAATGCAAGGGATTCTGTCCGCAATGTGGAGAAAACCTCAACGTCGTTGACTGCGGTTGTCAGATCTTTGAAGAGAGCTCCTCTCCATTTGCTGCTTTGGCGGATCTACTCGATTCGCCTGACCGCACCCTTGAAAACTAATTTCTCTGATTCTAAAATACACAATACTATATGGTAATAAGGAGATGACTTATGGCACATCCGAAACGTCGAACTTCAAAATCAAAAAAAGGAATGCGAAGAAGCCACCATGCACTTGGGGAAAAATTTGTCTCAACATGTCCCCCACTGTTCAGAAACAATCCTATCTCATCGTGTTTGTCCGAGCTGTGGATACTATAACGGGCGGGTTGTCGTGAAAACGGCTGAGGAAGCCTAATCCAATACTATAACCAACTTCAATTCTGGGGTTGAATAACGGTTGAAACGAAAAGGACGCTATCATAATGGCTCGACATGCAGCAATCACCGGGACGGGTTCATACCTGCCGGAGGGAGTTTTAACAAACTTTGACCTAGAAAAACTGGTTGATACTAGCGATGAATGGATCCGACAGCGAACTGGCATCGTAGAGCGGCGTATCGCCGATCCCGATATGGCAACTTCGGATTTATGTGTTCGGGCTGGGCGCCAAGCTATTAAAGCCGCTGAGATTGATCCGCTTGACATTGAAATGGTCATTGTTGGTACTGCGACCCCTGATACATTTTTTCCTTCAACTGCGTGCTATGTGCAGCAAGGCATTGGTGCCAAAAATGCCTGTGCTTTCGATCTTTCAGCCGCTTGTGCGGGCTTCATCTATGGACTCGATCTTGCCGACGGTATGATCCAGTCCGGACGTTATCAAACAATTCTAGTCATCGGTGGAGAAGTTTTTAATAAAATTCTCGATTGGGAAGACCGGAACACCTGTGTTTTGTTCGGAGATGCCGCAGGTGCTGCAATCGTGCAAGGAACAGATGAGGAAAAAGGAATTCTGGCGTCTTATATTGGATCCGATGGTGATTATGCCGATACCGATCTGTTAGGAATACCCGCCGGCGGTACACGCCTTCCGGCAAGCCATGAGACCATTGATAACAGAATGCATTCGATCAAAATGCGTGGACGAGAGGTGTTCAAGCTCGGCACTCGTATTATGCCAGAAGCCGCTCAACGGGCATTGGACATGGCAGGACTGACCATTGATGACATCGATCTGCTTATCCCACATCAGGCGAATATCCGCATCATCGAAGCCGTCGGAGAGCGGATTGGGATTGATCCAGAAAAAGTGTATATCAATGTTGATAAGTACGGAAATACCTCTGCTGCTACCACAATCGTTGCACTTGACGAAGCCCTCCGGTCCGGACGGGTTAAACCGGGTGACTTAGTGTTGCTGGTCACATTTGGTGCCGGACTGACGTGGGGAAGCACCCTGATTAAAATCTAAACGAACCAGAGATTTAGGTTTCATGTCCGATATGATCGAATCCTCGATAAAAGACTCACTCGCTTTCCTCTTCCCCGGTCAAGGTGCCCAAAAAGTGGGAATGGGTTTAGAGCTTTCCCAAGAATACACCACAGCTCGTGCGGCCTTTGACGAGGCGGACACGATCCTGAATCGGAAGTTGAGCCAGCTCTGCTTTGAAGGACCCGCGGAAGCACTGAAACAGACGGAAAACACGCAACTGGCAATTCTGACATGCAGCGTTGCAGCGTTGCGAGTCTTGAGCGAACACGGAATTGCACCGAAAGCTGTTGCCGGTCATAGCCTCGGAGAGTATTCCGCCCTTGTTGCGGCGGATGTGCTTGCCTTCTCAGATGCGCTGAGGTTGGTCGAATATCGGGCGAAAGTCATGGCAGAGGCTTCCCAGCGGCAAGATTGCACAATGGCTGCAATTCTGGGATTGGATGAAACAAACGTTACAAGATCTCTGCGAAGCTGCATCGTCTGTCGAAGCAACTTCTATGGGGCCCGATGCAAGCACCGGGGTGGTTCAAATCGCAAATTACAACTGTCCTGGGCAACTAATTGTTTCTGGCGATACTGCCGCTGTTGAACGGGTCATGGATAGCGCAAAGGCTGCCGGTGCCAGACGTTGCCTCCGACTTGAAGTGAGTGGCGCATTTCATTCTTCCTTGATGGGCCCTGCAAAAGAGCGTCTTCAAACTGTAATTGATGACTTCCAATTCAATGATCCAAGTATTCAGGTCGCTGCTAACGTAACGGGTAACTTTGTACAGACTGCGGACGAAGTTACCCGATTGTTGATAGCACAAGTTACGTCCGCCGTTCAGTGGGAGAAATCAATACGGACTATCGGTGCTGCCGGTATCTCACACTTTGTCGAGGTAGGACCCGGGACAGTGCTTTCTGGGATGGTTCGTCGTACCCTTCCCGAAGCAATTTGCCTGAATGTCGAGGATACCAAGAGCTTTGATAAACTGATGGATATAGCGTATAAAGGTTGATTAAATGACACTTAAAGATAAAGTGGCAATTGTGACAGGGGCATCGCGTGGAATTGGGGAGGCGATCGCTCGAAAATTCTGTCAGGAAGGTGCAAGTGTGATGCTCTGTTCGCGCTCCGCTGAATCGATTGCCACCATCGCTGAATCCCTTTCAGATGAGTCTGGAAACGCAAAATCGGCGCAAGCCGATATTTCCAACAAAGCTGATGTAGAGGCACTCGTAGATTTAACGCTGAAAGAATTTGACCGTGTTGATATCCTTGTAAATAATGCTGGAATTACCCGCGATACCTTGTTCATGCGGATGAAGGATGAGGACTGGGATGCGGTTTTACAGACCAATCTCACCGGAACAGCGTATTGTATGCGGGCCGTTATCCGCTCGATGATGCGCCAAAGAAGTGGACGAATCATTAATATTTCATCAGTTGTGGGAGTTGCAGGAAACGCCGGACAAGCGAACTACGCCGCTTCCAAAGCCGGCATCATTGGCTTGACAAAATCTGTTGCCAAAGAGGCAGGCAGCCGCGGTATCACGGTGAATGCAATTACTCCCGGTTTTATCACAACTGATATGACGGAAAAAATATCGGAAGCAGATCAGCAAAAAATGTTAGAAATGATTCCAGCGGGCAGTTTCGGTACACCAGAAGATGTTGCAGAACTGCTCTGTTTTTGGCGTCAGATGCCGCCCGATACATTACAGGGCAAGCCATCCAAGTTGACGGCGGTATGTTTATGTAAGTGAATCCATATACAATTTTCAATAACTTTGGAGGTTAATAAATCAATGGCAATAGATCAAAATCAAATTATCAAAATGATTGCAGATCAGTTACAGATTGACGAAGAGCAGGTTAAACCTGATGCCTCGTTTATGGATGATTTAGGTGCTGATTCGTTGGATACAGTGGAACTAATCATGGCACTTGAAGAGGAATTTGATATTGAAATTCCAGACAGTGAAGCCGAAAAGATTCGCACTGTGCAACAAGCACTTAATTACCTAGATGAGAATGCCTAATGATTGTGGTCGCTCAATTCGAGCGTTGCAGTTACCGGTCCGGTAGACGGTATTCTGCTTATTATCTGGGGAAGGTGTTCTATCACTAAATACCCGAGTAAATCTATCCGCCTAAAGCCGTGAACGCACGATGTCATGCGTAGTGATCAGGTTTCGGCAGGCCCATCGCGGGATACTAAATGCTTCGGGATTTAGCGCAACTTGTAGAGCAAGATCCTGTGCAGTTGCTGTCAGGCTTCTCACAGGTTCTGTGTGATAGGACACATTCTCCTTCCACTAATCTATTCCTATATTTCTAAAGCGAAAGAGGTATATTCGTGGGGGATCGAGTTGTTATCACTGGAATGGGAGTTGTCTGTTCTGTAGGCAACACCAAACATGAGTTTTGGGAATCAGTTGCGGTAGGCAAAAGCGGTATCGATCGGGTTACAAATTTTGATCCGCAAGATTTTCGTACGCAAATTGGGGGTGAGATCAAGGGGTTTGCGCCGGAGACATATCTTCCGCGGAAGGCTGTGGCGCGTCTGCCACTGTTCATCCAATATGCACTGGTATCTGCAATCCAAGCCCAACAGGATGCGGATCTCGATCTCCCCTCAATAGACCCTTATCGCGTTGGTGTTGGCGTCGGATCCGGAATCGGTGGTATCAGCGTCCTAGAGGAAAATCACCGAATCTTGCTTGAAAAAGGACCGAGAAGAGTCAGCCCGTTTTTTGTGCCTTACGAGATCATTAACATGGCCGCTGGGCAGATCTCGATTCATTTGAAACTCAAGGGCCCCAACTTCGCATCTGTTACCGCCTGTGCAACCGCAAACAACGCGATTGGGGAATCGTTCAAAGATCATCCAGCGCGGCGATGCCGATGTGATGTTTGCCGGCGGTTCAGAGGACGCAATTACCCCATTAAGTTTTGCCGGGTTCTGCGCCATGCGTGCAATGTCTACGCGCAATGATGAACCGCAACGGGCAAGCCGTCCATTTGATAAGGAGCGTGATGGGTTTGTGATGGGAGAAGGGGCAGGTGTGCTAGTCTTGGAATCCCTCTCACACGCCTTGAAACGCAATGCCTCTATCTATGGCGAGATTGTTGGCTATGGGATGAGTGCTGATGCGTATGATATGGTGCACCCGAGCGAAAATGGAGAAGGTGCTGCCAAGTCAATGGAATTGGCACTCAAGGATGCCCAAATCGCACCGGAGGACGTTGATTATATCAATGCCCACGGCACCTCAAACCAGCGGGCGACATTGCAGAAACACTTGCCGTTAAAGCACTTTTTGGAGATCACGCCAACCGGCTTGCCATGAGTGCGACCAAATCTATGACAGGTCACCTGCTTGGTGCTGCTGGGGCAGTCGAGTTGATTGCCACCTTGTGTGCAATGGAAAACGACTATATTCCACCAACCATCAACTACGAAAATCCAGACCCGGATTGTGATTTGGATTGTGTGCCGAATCAAGGGCGATCTGCGGGTATTCAGGTCGCACTGTCCAACGCCTTCGGTTTTGGTGGGCACAACACGTCTATTGCTGTCCGAAAATATGTGGCGTGAAACGCGAAAGGTTAGTAAGCCTACGAACCTTTCACGATTATTTTACCATGATGTTTAAGCGTCATTTCATCCCCTATTTGATTGGAGCTCGTGAGCGACAGCAGCATATCTTATCGCACTCACTGTCAAAACGAAGTTACTATGAACCGAAAAAAAATCGCGATTATTGACCTTGCCACCAATAGTAGCACCCGTTCTTTATACAGACATATTTTGCATGCCAACTTTGCAAGCGTTATGCCTCAAGCGATAGGTGTCTGGTGTGAAGAAGAAGGGCACGATGTTACACTCGAGTGTTATACTGGTTTTGGGAATTTGATTGAAGATTTGCCCGATAACCTAGACTTAGCCTTCATAGGTACTTTTACCCAGGGTGCACAACTTGCCTATGCGTTGAGCAACCGGCTTCGATCGGAAGGCACCATCACCGTATTAGGTGGGCCTCACGCCCGTTGCTATCCAGAAGATGCACAGCAATACTTCGATTACGTTCTTGGCTTTACTGACAAGTCTGTGATCCGAGAAGTCTTATCTGATTGTTCACAATACCGACCGATTGGTACATACCTCTCAGCGAAACAGCAGCCGACAACACTCCCTAGCGTACGTGAGCGTTGGCCGTTTATTGAACCGATATTGCGAAAAGCACCGCTTGTCAAAGCTGTTCCAATGCTTGGGAGTATGGGTTGTCCCTACACCTGTGCTTTCTGTATTGATGCAAGTATCCCCTACCGTCCTTTTGATTTTGAGGTCATCAAGGATGACCTCCGTTTTCTGTTGCGCCAGTTCAAACGTCCTTTAGTCGGATGGCATGACCCCAATTTTGGGGTTCGATTCGACGACTACATGGGTGCAATTGAGGAGGCGATACCACCGGATAGCATCAGTTTCGTTGCTGAAAGCAGTTTATCACTCTTGTCAGAGACCCATCTCAAACGGTTCAAGCGAAACGGATTTAAGGCAATCCTACCCGGTATTGAGTCGTGGTATGACCTCGGTAACAAATCGAAGACAGGTTCGAGGGTAGGAGAAGAAAAAGTCCAGAAAGTCTCTAGCGAAATCAATACCATCCTGAAATATATCCCTTATGTACAAACCAACTTTGTATTCGGACTTGACACCGACCAGGGTGCTGAACCGTTTGAACTGACCAAACGATTTGTGGATATGACACCCGGCGCGTATCCGTCCTATAATTTGCTGACCGCCTATGGAAGAGCCGCACCGCTCAATCTGGATTATCAACGTGCAAACCGCGTTATTCCACTTCCATTTCACTTCCTGAACAATGATATGATGAACGTAAAGCCAAGCAATTACTCATGGACCGAATTCTACAAACATATGGTTGATTTAGGAAGCCATACATTTTCGTGGAAGTCCATTGTTAATCGTTGCAAAGCAAATGAGGTGCCTATTGCAGGGTGGCTGACTGTACCACGAGGTATGTCAACAAGACGCCATAAAATCGGGCGATACGTGCAAGTACTTCAACAGCTCGAAAGTGATTCCAAGTTCCGAGCTTACTTTGAACAAGAAACGACTGAGTTACCACAGTTTTATATCAATCGAATACGGAAAGACCTAGGCTCCCTGTGGGAGTGGCTTCCTGATGGGGCATTGCATTACGATCCGAATGCCTACCTCAAATCGGAACAAGCGAATAGCACCGAAGTTATCGACTTAAAAAAGTTGAAGCGTGGATAAGTTCACTCCAACTTCTGAGCTTAACATAACCCTAACACAAGTTGCTACTTATCGCAAGATACCCGGAACGCTGTCCTGAAAATGGATATTCGTGGAAAACCGAGATTGGGTTACAACTATTTCCTTCTGGGTAATCTAAATCCAAGTTGCTACCTATTGAAAATTCATGTTTTTTGTTGGCTCATGTAAAAAGAAAGTGCAAACCGTAAAAAGAAACCGTAGGGAACAACGATCGTTGTTCCTTACTGCTCAGTTTCTGTTGCACGATTTCTTAACATGAGCCAACTGTTTTTGAAGGCAAACTCGAAGCTATTTTACCTGCCTTCCCTGATTTATCCCATTCATCATAGCTTAGTTTTACCTAACCACTAAAGATTTCTCTAATTCTTTACTACTGTGGTTTAGAACTGTTGGAACGCCTCCCGAACTTCGGACACCAATCTGTCGATATGTTCCTCCGTCATCGGGAGCGACACATTACCACCGCTCGTCCAATGAATCCCGTGATTCAGGAGCCAGAAAAAGAGATAATCCTGCAATAGCTTGTCATCTTGCGCAGCTTCTCGATAGTTACGTGGCGCGCGGGGCAGAAAATGGACGCGGAAAAGTGAGCCGACCACAGTGACTTGAGCTTCGACCCCTACCTCAGCAAACACAGATTCCAATCCCGCTCCCAACCGTTGTGTCAACGCACCGATTTTGTCGTATGCCTCCGGCGTCATTTGTTTGGAGCGTGACGAGTCCGGCGACCGTGGCGATGGGATTTGCGTTGTAGGTTCCCGACTGAGGAATCTTCGCTCCAGAGGTGGGATCATACAGTCCCCATCACATCAGCGCGTCCACCGAAGACAGCCCCCGCAGTTCCACCTGCAATAACTTTTGCCATGCACGTCAAATCAGGTCTCACGCCGTAAAGTTCCTGTGCACCACCAGGGGAAGCCCTGAAACTGATGATCTCATCAAAAATCAGCAGCGCACCTATCTGCGTTGTAAGTTCTCTCAGACGGGACAGGAAACCCTCTACCGGGAGACACGTACCCGCACCCGTTGCCAGCGGATCTACGATTACAGCTGCCAAATCATCAGCATTTTCGTTGATGATTTCTGCACAGGCATCTGCGTCGTTGAATGGCAGCACCAACACCTCTTCGAGGACTGCTGGCGAGAGTCCTGCTGTCGAAGGAACTGACCGAGGGCGATTAGCGGGACCCAAGTCTGGTCCCAGCGGGGGAACGTAGCTAACTAGCGCGTATTCACCCACACCGTGATATGCCCCTTCAAATCTGGCAATTTTACGTCTGCCAGTGAAAGCCCTAGCGACTCTCAATGCGTTCAACACCGCCTCAGTTCCAGAGCTACAGAAGCGAAGTCGTTCCAAAGATGGCACCCGTTCCCGTAGCAGCTCCGCCATTTCGACTTCAAGGGGTGTTGGTCGAGAAAAAGCTGTCCCTTTAGCCACACGGTCCTGAAGTGCTTCGACAATCGCAGGGTGAGCGTGCCCCAGAATCAAAGCTGTGTTGTTGTTGACAAAGTCCAATAAGCGATGACCATCTAAGTCGTAGAAATAGACGCCTTCGCCGCGCTCTACATAGATCGGAAAGGGACGCATATACGCGCCAGTGCGGGTGTTCCCCCCCGGCAACGATTCCTTTGCCCGTTCAAACATCTCACCTGAGCGTGGATTGTTAGCCATATATTCCGTGATTAAGCTATCCAGCGAATTTTGTAATGCTTGCTTGTCCATACTACCCCCTTATTTGCTGCTGACTTTTATTCTGACTTCGTTTCTATCTTTGGTGGTTGGAAAAACTCCATCGTGATTCCATCTGGATCTGTCATATAAATCGCCCAAGCACCTTTATTCGCACCTGCCGTAATCTCGACAGGTGGTGAACGGAACCTCACACCCGCAGCGCACAATTCTTCATACGCTGCCCGCAGGTCATCAACCAGAAATGCGATGTGTGAACTGCCCACATTTTTGGTGCGAACATCGGCGGAGACACCGCGCGGGACGACGTACTCAATTAACTCGATGGCGTGGGTGGAACCGGGAACACTCAACATTGCCATCTTCGCAACACTATCGGGGATAGCCTACAATATCGCGGAAGTATTGGTCGCGGTTTTCGCGCTGCCAGATCACCTCGCAGCCGAGCAGCTCAACATAGAACTCAAGCGAGCGTTCAAGGTTAGAAACGGTGTAACTGGTATGGTGCGCGCCGGTAACTTTCATGCCGCCTCCTCAAGGTTGCACGTCATTGGGCAACTGATGTATTCACTACCTCCGAGCATTTTACCAAAAATTCGATATAGTGTCAATTAAGAATCTTGTTTCAGTCCTCTGTAAATCGTGCTATAATTTTTACGTAGTACTAGTAGTAATAACGCGAACATTACTGGACCGACCCTGTCGAATTGGTTCAGCGAATAGTAGTTGTTAATCCTTAGTTTCCAAATTCCGTCTCAATGTATGAATGAAGATGACCTCAAAAGATACAGGAGAATTGAATGCAAATCATACAAAGCTTGTTCATTGGGTTGGCTGCCCTAAGACGGAATAAACTCAGGTCATTGCTGACAATGCTCGGTATTATCATTGGTATTTCTGCGGTTGTCGGCATGGTCTCGATTGGAGACGGAGCAAAGTTTTTAGTCTTAGCGGAGTTTGAACGAATGGGTGGATCCGATCTAATTATCTGTTTCCGTCCGCGCTGGATCCAGAGGGAGGATGGCACCTGGATCCAGAATAAAGCCCCGGTATACCTCGAATACGAAGATATTGATGCAATTATGATGTCCTGCCCGTCGGTGAAAAGCATCACAGGGGAGATTGATACGATGGCGCGGCCCATATCGTACAAAGGGGAGACGAAGCATTTCCGCTTTGAAGGTGTTACGCCGCTTTATCAAGAAGTGCACAATTGGTATGTCCAATCCGGGCGTTTTATCCAACGGGAAGATTTGGATCGGAACGAGTCGGTATGTGTAATTGGGACGGAAGTCCAGAGAGATCTGTTCGGCAAAACCGATCCAATCGGTCAAGAATTGAAAATTGGTAGACAGCGATTTACCGTCGTCGGAGTGATGAAAGAGAAAGGCGACAAAATGGCGACCGAGGGTTGGGATAAAAAGCTGATTGTTCCATTTACGACGATGTGGACCCGTTTCATCGGCAACCAGAAGCGGGGATTTGAATTATGGCTGAAAGCGGAGAGTTTTGAAAAAGTGGATCAGGCGTTGGCAGAAGTGATGATTACCCTGCGTCGCCGGCACGGTTCTGAAGAGCACTTTCAATTTTACACTGCAAAAGCAGTTTTGGAACAGGTCGGAAAAGTCAGTCAGGTCCTCAAAATTCTGCTTGGCGGTGTCGCGAGCATCTCGCTATTGGTCGGTGGCATCGGTATCATGAACATTATGTTAGTTTCTGTTACGGAGCGCACGCGGGAAATTTGGGCTGCGCAAAGCCGTTGGTGCAAGACACCGCGATATTCTGCAGCAGTTTCTAATCGAATCAGTTGTGCTGAGTGTCTCTGGAGGACTGATTGGAATTCTCATCAGCGGGTTCATTACTTTTGTAGTCGCATGGGGAGTCACAACGTTTCTCATCAAAGAGACGGAATGGCCCGCAGTGGTATCTTTATGGGCGGCGGCTGTTGCTTTCGGTTCTTCTGCGTTTATCGGTATAGTATTTGGCATTCTTCCTGCCTACAAGGCGGCGCGGTTGATGCCAACTGAAGCTCTGCGCCATGAGTAAAATTGGCTTTGAGAAGGACTAACAGGTAAACTCCATGGACTAATGAACTAACAGAACCCCAGCGGATCGACATGTGCAATTTGCGTTAAAATAGTCACTAAGATTTCATAGTACCTTCTTGTGTAAAATGCTCGGAAATGAGTCATAGCGTAGGTTCTACCCCTTTTTGTTTTATCAATTTCCCCGATTTACTATGAAAACTATGAAACTTCGAGCATTTCTCAACACTGTTTTTCGACTAGCGGCTTAGATTACACTAGTGTGTCAAGTCCTAAAATAGGTTTACATAAAATTTCCGTATTACGGTTGATTTATGGCAAGTTGTTACTGAGTTTGTTTTCACGTTTCACGCATCACGTTTCACGCGCTTAACGTTTTGCACTCTCTTTTGGCATGAGTCAAAATAAAAATATGAAAGGAGAGATAGATTTGATTAAATTATATGGCGAGGAGTACCATCGTCTACAACTGCTTCGACATATCGGAGACATTTCCCAAATTGCCGGTGTGAAGCAGTATGAATTAGCGAGCGGATCGGAAAAGGGGGTGGCTGGTGTTGATTTTCGGACCGGCTCCGGGTTAAATTTTTCTGTCCTGCCGGACCGTGGGTTAGACATCTCTTATGCGGAATACAACGGCATTCCATTATGCTGGCGTTCCAGCACCGGCGATGTCGCACCGACCTATTATGAACCGGAAGAGAATGGTTGGCTGCGTGGATTTTTTGGTGGGTTACTAACCACCTGCGGCATGACGTACCTTGGCGAGCCGGATACCGATGGGGAAGAATCGCTTGGCTTACACGGTCGTGTCTCTTATACCCCTGCCCAAAATGTATGGATCGATAGCCGTTGGGAGGGAGATCGGTATATCATGTGGGTTCAAGGCAAGGTGACAGAAACAACGGTCTCCGGTGAAAACCTCTGTCGAACCCGTCGTATTTGGACAGAACTTGGCTCAACAAAACTTCGTATCGAAGATATTGTTGAGAATCTTGGCTATCAGGATACACCGCACATGTACCTATTCCATATCAACCCCGGATTTCCAATCGTTGCTGAAGGTTCCGAGTTGATTGTCCCTTCGTCGAAAGTTACCCCAATAGATGAACACTCGGCAGGAAAATTGAGCGACCATGCGCGGTGCGAAGCACCTACTGTCGGTTTTCATGAAGAAGTGTATTACCATGAGATGGAAGCGGATGAGGATAACCATATCTATGTTGCTCTGGTCAATCGGTCCTTCAACAATGGACAAGGGCTTGGGCTGTACGTGAGATACCACAAAACGCAGCTTCCCAAATTCGTTCAGTGGAAAATGAACGGTGAGGGCCTCTATGTGATTGGCTTGGAACCAGCAAACTGCTGGGTTGATGGCAGATCAAAGGAGAGAGAACGAGGGACGCTGGAATTTCTGGAACCGGGTGGACGCAGACATTACGAAGTTGAAATCGGTGTTTTGACTTCTAACGCAGCAATTGAGAGGCTAGCAGAAAAGATTGAAGCGACAAAGAGGAATAGCTGATCTGGATCGACTGAAACCCCAATCCAGAAATCTTGGTCGGAATCCCAACCAAACCTCGCCAATCGAGGCTGTACGGGTTGTCTTGGATAACGGCATAACAGTAATTCTTAAAGAAATTCATCATGCTCCGATTGTCTCGTTCCAAGCTTATGTCAAGGTTGGAAGCATCCACGAAGGCAAGTATTTAGGGTCCGGCATTTCCCATTTTATCGAACATCTCATCGACGATGGGACCGAACGACGAACGCGCGAGGAAATTGATAATCTCGTTGAGGCGATGGGAAATGCTTCCAACGCCTACACGACGAAAGATCACTCCCAATATCATATCACCACTCCCCGTCAATATTTAACACAAGCCCTTGATCTCCTATCTGACTGCCTCAAACATTCCACCTTTCCATCTGATGAGGTAGAGATTCAGCGTGGCGTCATTTGGAACGAACTGAATGGTGAGCTTGATGAACCGACTCAGTTGCTGTATGACCTCTATTATGAGACGGCGTTTCGTGAACATCCAGTACGCTTCCCGGTGGGCGGATACAAAGAACTGTTCATGGAGTTGACGCGAAGCGATCTCGTTGAATTCTATCGACAGCACTATGTTCCTGATAATCTAATCTTTGTGGCTACCGGCGATTTCCAATCAGAGGAGATGCTTGGGAGGATTGGGGTGGCATTCGAGGATTTTCCGCGTCGTAGCCCGCCCGCAATAGAACTTCCGCGCGAGCATCGCCAACTTGCCGCTCGACGGGCTGAACGGCATATGGATGTGGAATTGGCGTATTTAGTGATGGGGTATCATGGGGTCCGTATCGATCACGAAGATGCGCCGGCATTGGACCTGATTGCGACGGTGTTGGGCAGCGGAGAAAGTTCGAGGCTTATCCAGATCCTGAAAAATCAACATCAGCTTGTGTATGACATCCAGACGTGGTCAGATACGCCGCGATACGATGGTGGTTGTTTCGGCTTTGAAGCAGAGCTTGTGCATGGCAAATTATCCGAAGCAGAGGCGAGATTAATTGAACAGATTGAACGGCTGAAATCTGAGTCAGTGTCAGAGAGCGAGTTGCGACGTGCCCAAACCATTGAAACAAGCGAGTATCTCTTTGCGTTACAGTTTGTTGAAGAACAGGGAGCGATGCTCGGTGTTGACGAACTCACGACGGGGGATTGTCGGTTTCATGAGAAATACCTTCAGCAGATCTGTGCCGTAACGCCGGAGGATATACAACGGGTGGCACAAACTTACTTTCGCCCAGAAAATCTCACAACGGTTACAATCCGCCCGAAAGAAAGCTCATCATCTGTCCATATTCCTCAAGCGCAATCAGTGCCTTCAGCCGCTGAGAAGCATCTTTTTTCCAACGGTATGCGTCTAATTACGAAGTCTATTGATACTGCGCCGGTTGTTTCCATTCAAGCGATGTTTCTCGGAGGTACGCGATTTGAAACAGAAGAGAATAACGGGGCCTTCCATCTCATGACAAACCTCCTGTTAAAAGGAACGAAAGACCGTTCTGCGGAGGTGCTTTTTGAAGATATTGAGGCAAAAGGTGGCAGCATAGGCTCAGTAAGCGGACACAACGCATTCGGTATCACCGTGAATTTACTTCGTCAAGATATAGAATACGGCTTAGAATGTTTGGCAGATGTGCTCCTCAATCCCGTTTTTGATGTAGACGCGCTCGAAAAATTAAAATTGGAGACAATCGTTGGCATTCAGGCGGAAGAGGATGATTGGTACGCTTTAGGCAGGCGTCAATTTCTTGAAACAATGTTTCAAGCACATCCCAATCGGCTGCGCGCAGCCGGATCTATTACATCGATTAAACGGCTATCTCGTAAAGATGTGCTAGATCGTTATCAGCGTTACTGTGTGCCCAACAACATGGTAATCGGCGTCTTCGGCGATGTTCAGTCGGAACACGTCCAAGACATCGCACAACGGTATCTTGGCGCGTTTCTTCCGATTAAGACATCATTTCCAACAGTGCCTGTCGAACCACCGTTGTGTGATGTCCGTCGTGTTGAGCGACACAAGAACTTGGCACAAGCCGTCATCTTTCAGGGCTATCCGGGGATTCCTATGCAACATGCTGATCGTGACAGTCGTCGAAGTCCTTAGCAGTCTGTTATTCGGTGTCGGACAGCCAGGGGGACGATTATATAAGCGTCTCCGCAATGAGCAATTGGTCTATCATCTTCACGGTTATCCTTACTTTGGTATCGACTGCGGCTACCTTGCAATTTGCGGGAGCACAGTTCCGAATCACATGGAGCCGTTGATAGCACTGATTGACGAAGAGATTTCAAATCTACAACGTCAGGGGGTTTCTGATTCGGAGTTAGAGCGTGGGAAACAGATGTGCCTGACAAACTATCTGCTTAGTGCCCAAACTGCCGGCGTTCAGGCGTCAATCGCCGTGCTAGACGAACTCTACGGATTCGGCTACGATTACGTGAACCAATACGAAGCAAAGATTGCCACCGTTTCCAAAGAAGCCATTAGACGCGCTGCGAATGCCTACCTACCGCTGAACAAGCGCGTCATTAGTATTATTCGTGATGCGTGAAACACAATGGTTTCCTATCGCATAGTGTCTGAAGCACTCTGATGTTGACGGAAATAGATTGATGTGCATTGATGGATTCACCGTGTAAATTTCTCAAGTCTATCGTAATACAGCATGATGCTAAAATCCGTTCTATATACTTACCAACTTACCTTTACAAAGGAGAAATAAATTATGAAAGCGTCCAGTCGTTTAACTGCCGTAACTCTAATCTTGCTGACTAGCATCATGGTGTTGAGCTACAGCGGGAAAGAAATAATGGCGGCTCCCGATGTTGCTCCTGACAGCGTTTTGAATGTCATCCCCCAAGACACCGTTGGAGTAATTTACATACCCAGCTTACTGGGATTCAATGACGAAATTAACGCACTTATGGCAGAAATGATTCCTACAGATCCACCGCAAGAACTGCCCGCTAAGATATTAGCTGACACCTTTGGCGCAGGTTTTGAGACGCTGGAAGAATTGGAAGAACTGGGTTTGGATATGCGGAGAAACTTCGCGGTGTTTCTCTCCGATGTGAATCCACTGATGTATTCCGCTGCGGTTCACATTAAAGATGCGGAAAGCGTTAAACAGCTAATCGAAATGGAAGCGGAAGGCAGTAGTTCTGTCACCCATAACGGTGTGACGTATTATACTACGGGTGAAGAGGGAGCATTTGTTCTGATGGACGATGTGATGGTCTATTCAGGTTCAGCAGCGGTCTGTGAAAAGGTCATTGATACTCAGAAAAAAACGATGCCATCAATTGTGAACACTACCGATTTTCAATCGCTCGAACTTGATACCACATCCGGCGTAAATGATTTGATCGCTTATTTTGCAATGGAGGCTATCGTAGATGCCCTCCACCCCACGCTGACTGAAAAAGCGGAGGGGTTAAAGGCAGGAATGGGGGCAAGTGCAGAAACCGACCCAGAACTCAGTGTCGGTTTAGGGCAGGCTGAAGGCCTAATTGACGGTGGTATATGGCTGTTGGATCAGTCAAAGATTTTAAGCCTCACCGTGCAACTCAACGGCAGCGACCTCCAGATTTCTCCGTTCCTCAAATTTAAGCAAGATAGCGAAATCCAAACGTATATTCGCCAAATGCCGAGAGAACTGACACACCTCAAATACCTGCCCCAAACTGCATTTCTCACGGTGAAATGCAATTTCAGAAGGAGATGTTCATTGGGCTTACACAGACAATGATGCAGTTATTTATCCCTTCGGATTCAACTGCGGATACAGCGAAGATCGAAGAAGCAACCGAGGCACTTACTGAAGCCACGAAGGATTTCTACGCAGGCTTGGGAGATGAGATCGCTCTTTCCCTCAATTTCGGTGGAAGCCTGATGCCTGACCTTTTATACATCTACGACGTGGCGGACGAAAAGCAGGTTAAAGCCTACATGGAGAAAGATTTCATCGAATATTTGGGAGCGTCATGGGACTGATCAAGCGATGGGAGCCACTCAGACTTCGCTGGTATGTACAGTGATGTGTCTGCAGGTCCCCCTGAGATATACAACGGTGTGGAGATTAAAAGTTACATTCTGCCAAATATCACACGTCCTTTTTCGCTGAACTTCCGCCCGGAATGGAAGTTGCTGCCCCAAAACAGTGGAATATCTACTATGCCATCAACGGTGGAAAAATCTCTACGCAATGGCAGGTAACGCCCAACCGGTCAAAAACACCATAGACCGAATGGCAGGTATGGGGGCAGGCTTTGATCAAGGGGCAGGCTACGCCAAGCTGACCGGTGCATTGACCCTGAAAAACAACATGTTCTTCGCGCTTTCACCTATCACTGCGGTCAAGAGTCTCGTACAGATTTTTGCTCAAGCGGATCCAAATGTTGGCATGGCCCAAATGTTTTTGGCAAACATTCCCGAAACCTACAGCATCGGTATTGCCAGCCAAAATCGGGATAATGGGGTTGCAGGAGAGCTATTTATCTCGATCGGCGATTTCAAGGAAATCATCATTATGCTCATCAGTCTGCAGCAAATGGAGGGAATGCAGTGATTCGATGGTAGGTTTCATCGAGGAATCACCGAGTGGTGTTGTAGCGGTAGGAAGGAAAAAGTGAGAGAACGGAAGGTATCGGTTCATTGATTCGAGACCTTCCGTTCACGCTGTAACCGTAAGATCTACTAATTTGTTGCGGTTTTCGCGCTGAAACCCGCTTTTCCGATAGCATCGGTCAATTGGTCAGCAGTGGCTTTGCCTTTTCAAGTTTAACGATGGCTTTACCATCTGCTTGGGAAACATCGGCACTAATCACGCCAGGAATGCTTGTAAGTGCGGCCCGCACTTTGGCTACACAGCCACCTCACGTCATCCCATCAACGTTTAATGTGATTTGTTCGTCAGCCGCCGGTGCTGCTGCGGACATATCCGTGCTTGCAGCGGTTTCGGCTTCTGTAGCTGCGGGAGCTGCTGTCTCAGCCGCCTTTTCCATCTTCTTCTCTGAAGCACATCCAATAGCAAACAGGATTGCGACGCAGCAAATTAGTGTCAGTTTTAGTATGCGCATTTGGGTTACACCTCCTCTCCAGTCAAAATCAAGTGCTTATTTATTGTATGCGACTATATCGCTTTTGTCAAATAGAATCTGACGCTCAGTTATCAGTAATAGCGATGTTTAACTTGAGGTGATTTAGGATAACCGCCGGCTTCTTGGTAGGTAGCGCGATGAGTGCAGCGTTTCCCAAATTCCCACAACGAAATGTCAACACACCCGAATTAAAGAAAGAAGTTAATCATGAGAATAGACGTGAATTGGGTGAAAACGGTTTATAATAACGGCAGGGGATGGCATGTCGGAAATATGGTGCAATGGAAAGGGGTATACTACATCTGTTTCGTTGATGGGACCGGTCACGGAACCGAAGACTCCCAAATCAGGGTATGTGCCTCCACCGACTTGGTGAATTGGACCTCCCAGATTGCCATCGGAAGAAAGACAATAGACCCAAATCTGCTGCTTGTTGGTGACAAACTACTGTTGTATGGGGTGAAGGAAAGCACAGGGGATTCTGACTTCGGTTTCCCATCTCAGCAGGTGGTGACGTGGACGATGGACGGAACGACTTGGGCACCACCGAAAAGATGCTTTCTGAGAGATCACGACTTTTGGCATCCCATCGAATTTGATGGTCGCTATTACGTAGCATGTGATACGGTCGGACATGCGCCGCTCGGTATCCACAATTCGGTCGATCTGCTCACTTCGGCTGACGGCGAACGATGGGAGTGGGTCACGGAGATCGTCCATGGGTCCAACGAACCGATGTATTACGATACAACTGGTATCCACTTTGGTACACCTACGCCCAGTGAAACATCCCTCTGTTTCTTTGACGATGGCCGCCTGTTAGCGGTCACACGAGCACGGGGACACTGTGCATTGCTCTCCACCTCGGAACCACCTTATGATCAGTGGGAACGCTACCTTTCCCGCGAATCCCGATGTTACGGTTCAGCCATCGCCAGAGTCGGTGAGGGTGTTATCGTCACAGGTAGAAGCTTCGCCAATGAAGGTGTCCGCTCCACAGAGAATCGGTTCAACGATAAGTTCAGCGACCACGATCAGACCCAACTCAGAACCGGGGTCTTCCTATACGAAGATGGCGATATCCGTCTGCACACGGTCCTCCCCAGCGGGGGAGACACCGGCTACGGCGGTATTCTCCCCATCAGCGACAACCAAGTGCTTATCGCGTACTATTCGTCCCACGAATACGCACCGGGCGATAAGCACGGTTCCAATGTTTACCTAGCCTCAGTATCACTGACGTGAGTCGCTTCAATATACAACAGGGGACGACAAGAATTCCCTGTTAAACGTCCATCAGTTCCGCACATAAGCGTTTGACATCAACACGAGTCCCCGTACGTGCCGACGTGTTACACGCCTCCATCAGTATCCACGTCCCCAACGTAGTTTCCTGTAACCATTCCGATCTTTGCCGGTGGAGATGGTATCTGCAAAGGCATCAAACTGAAGACGATCGTCTTCGACGAGTCCGGGATGGAGATCTTGAAGTTGGCAATCTTCGACACATTCACCCTTGCGGAAAAGTTGGAGATGCCCCGCATCCCGTCGAATATCCCCATTTTCCCCGTGAAATGTCCAGTGACCGCTCCAGCCGAATGGACTTGCGTGGGAAGCGTTAGTTCCGGTATAACAGAAAGGCGCGCTGTTTGGGTATTCCAGCAATGCCTGACCGCCAGCCGTCCCCCAAACGCCGGTCCGGGCAATGTCATGGTCTTCCCGTAGATGGACACACGCCGTCACATATTTCGGAAGCCCTTTCGCCGCAACAAGTTGATCGAGTTGATGTGCTGTGGCAGCGTGAAAGAAAATCCCTTCAACGTAAGCGTCCGGGTAGCGTGAGTTATCCGCTCGCCAGAGATTTTGTCGAATCCAGAATCGACACTCCCCACCAAGCATTTCGCCGATACCATCCGATCCACGCAGCCACTCGCGCATCTTGGAAGCGGCGGGATTCCAGCGTTTATTTTGTCCCTGCACCAGCATCAGATTGGGATGTGCCTTGCGAACCTTGATAATTTCCCGAAACTCATCCGGCGTTGTCGCAATCGGTTTGACACACAACGTATGCATCCCAAGATTCAGGCTTTCGATGACCAGTTTGGCGTGTACCGGCGTCGAAGCGTAGATGAGACACGCCTCCGCATGATGTCTCGCCCGCGCTTCGGCGATTGTTGTATAGATCCGGTCACCAAGCCCTTCGGGCACATCGCTCTCCAACGACCCTACCCCTTCTCGCGCTTCGTCGAGGTTGATATCCACACAGGCGACAGGATACAACCCCTCGCAGTTGACTAACGCCTGAAGCCGCCCAAGGGCGAAATGGGTGCAGCCCACATGAATAGTCGGTATAGCCATGATTGCCTCCTTTCAAGAAATCGAGTTTTTTCTTGAAAACTCGGTTTCTTTTTGCGTATTGCACTTTCTTTTGACATGAGCCAATCGGTATTACTCCCCCAGTGCTTCGTTAAAATCTTGGATGTTGTGCTCCAACACAGCCGTCAATGAGAAATCTCCACCGTAAGCCAGCAACTGCGCTCCCATTGCGCGGTACTGCTTGATCAGTTCAGGTGTACCAGCGGGTATACCCCAAGCGATGCCATGCCTTCTAGCTACATCGGCAACTTGGGCGATGGCTTCATCGAGGCTAGTCTGTGTCTTACCTTCACTATGGCTCAGGCGTAGCCCAAGATCTCCCGGACCGACGAAAAGCGCGTCTACTCCCGGCACAGCCGCGATTTCTTCGACATTCTCAAGAGCATCCGGTGTCTCGATTTGAACCGTGATGAAAGTCTCTCGATTGGCGTCATCGGTATAGGTGCTGTCTGGGCTCCAGACCTCAAGCCCAAAATCGCCATCTAGACCGGCACCGTCCATGCCACGATTGCCCACAGGTGGAAATTTCACAGCGTTCACAATGCGCTGCGCTTCCTCCGCATCTGAGATCAAGGGCATCATCAAACCGGTCGCGCCATCTTCAAAGTAGCGATAGAGCCGTGTCCGTTCTTGAGTGGGAGGTCGTACCATGCAGTCGATATCGTTGTGGTAGCATAGTCCCAACAGGCTCTGCACCTCACGATCGGTCATCGCCCGGTGCTCCAAGTCCAGCCAGATGACATCGTAGCCGAAATGTGCGGCGTAACGCACAAAAAACGGCAGGTAGTGTCCCAAGCCACACACTCGTGCGCATCGGTTTTGGTGGATCTTCTTCAGGGTTTTGCTGTTTCTCATGTTCCTCCTCGTTTGGGTTAAGGACATTTAGTTCTCCTGTAGGTCAAAGACTCTCGGAACGGAGAGGGATCTCCGAATCCCGACATCCCGATCCCAACTTCCTACTCAGATAGGGAGAAAACCGAAAACTAAATCGCCCTAGTCACAGGTAAAAATGGATTCCATAAGCCAATCCGTTACGTCAGGGTATTGATCGAGATCCAAGACAAATTCCTGTCCCCGACTAGCACTCTGTAGGTAGGCGTATTGGTCATCGTGCTTCCAGCGGTGGAGTTTGGGGTGGTAGGTAAGCGGGGATTTGTCGTTGTCAGGGTAGAAACACCGAGGCAATCGCCAATCCGTTACCCCTGATCCATTTGGGTTTGTCAAAACCAATCGTTCGTGAAATTTCAGGTAACACCCTGCGCCTTGTGCTATCGATCCATCGCCTAAGTGCAACCCACAGGACGCAATATACAGCGTGTTGGTCGGGTCTTTATCTCGTGAGGGGTGCCGGTGCGGATGGTAGCGTGTCCATGGAAGTTCATCCTTCGCTAGTTCATCGACCTTGTGAATTTCCCCAATCTGAAGCCAGCCCCACAGGATATGTTGCCTAGGCGCGTCTTTGACAAAACACCACCTACCAGAAATTTTCTCAACTTTTCGGAACAAACCAAAATATAGGAACAAATCGTCAATTTGCACACCTTGGTTGTCTAGATGACCTTGGGCTGCGCCTGATTGACCAAACAGGGGTTGCCAACCCTCTTGGCGCGGATAGGCAACGTGATTGATGTCCGGGTCTAAGTGAGCGTGGACCTTAGACCCAATCCGGTTACAAGTGAGATCCGCAACCATCTCCCCGATATTTGTGTCGCCATGCCATAAATCTCCATAGGTAACTTCTGACTGGTCATGAGGGATCGGTAGAGAATACAGTGTGCCGTTAGGGAAAATGGGACTGGGGCAACCGCCCGATTGCGAATCAAATCCCTTTCTACTGAGAATCAGTTTCATGTCTGACGTGCTCCTCACCAAATTGAGTAGTTCCTCAATCTAAAAATTTGAGGAATTGGGTAACTATCCCCTCTCATTATAACCGATTGCCGTAGCGAAAAGGGATTAAAAATTCTTCGGTGTTTTTTATACCTGAGAACCCTCTATCAGAACTATGACTTTTTCGTTGCAGATTTGGACGGACTTTGCTATGATACCCGAAACTAAAGCCGAATCATAAACCTATTTTTCAGACACACCGGAGGACTCAATGCGACAAAAAATTAGCGGTACAGGCGGAATGATCCTAGTCAAAATGCTCAAGGAATGCGGGGTCGAATATCTCTTTACCAACCCCGGCTCGGCAGAAACAGGACTCTTTGCAGCCGTTGCCGAAGATGGGGATTTGAAAATTGCTATGGCGAAACATGAGGGACTGGTCTCCGCCATGGCAGATGGATACCACCGCACCAGCGGCAAGGTAGGGGTGGCTATCGCCCACGTGACCGGCGGCTCGCTTCAGATGGCGGGGCAACTCTACAACGCCCAGATGGCAGGTTCGGCGGTGGTTGTCATCGCTGGGGATTGGACAATGGAGGTCCAGGATTTCCGAGGTTTAACACCCTTCCCCGGACTGAGTCAGGCAGAACTGATGCGTGGCGTGACCAAAGAGGCGCGGTGTGCCTATCAAGTTAGCTATCAACCGGAGGCGCTTACGGTCGCAACAGCGAGGGCGATGCGGGAGGCGACGAACCCACCAACAGGTCCCGTTTTTATCTCGGTGAATGCGAATCTGTTCCAGCAGGAGGACCTTGAGGCGGAGATCGGAGAAGGCGCAGGGTATCAGATCGAAGGTCCGGGAGCAGCCCGACCTCAAACAATAGAAGCTATCGCTCAAAAACTTGGCGACTGTAGTTGTCCCGCATTGATGTTCGGTGATGATGTCTGGAACCAAAACGCACAAGACGAAGCCGTACATCTGGCAGAATTAATCGGTGCGCCGGTTTTCAGTAGCCGGCAAACCAATGCTAACTTCCCGACCCACCATCCGCTGTCCTGTGGCGGCTATCCAGTGGAAAAGGAATTTTCTGAGGTAACAGGTCTGCAACCTGATCTCCTGTTCATGGTCGGCTGTCGAGGACTTCATGGGGCTGCGGAGGAACCGAGTGTGATGCAGATTGGTCCCAACCCGACACTGATGGGACGACACTATCCGCTCGATCTCGCTGCCCAATGTAACCTAAAGGATACGCTACCTCTCCTCTGTGAGAAGATATCCAGCATGTACGGGGCTGATACAATCGAGTTGTGGCGAAACCAACGCGCCAAAGTTTCAACATACGCAAAACGCCTGCTTGAGCGCGAGGAAGCGGTGGTACGGGAGCATGCGGACGACGAAGTAATTCACCCCAGCCTGCTAGAGGCGCAGATGGCGACGCTCCTGCCGAAAGACTCAATAATCATTGGTGAAAATCCGACCGCCCGAACAACACTGCTGCCGTTTGGATATCAACAGATGTGGCGATTCGGCGGTGGCGGTGGATCGCTTGGTTGGGCAGTCGGTGGTGCAGTTGGCGCGAAGATTGGCATTGGAGACGAAAGACCTGTCGTCCTGAGTATCGGCGACGGCTCGCTTACCTATAGCGCAGCTGGGTTCTGGTCTATGGCTCGTTATAAGACCCCTGTGCTGACAATCGTTTCCAACAACGAAAGCTATCAGGTAGTGCGTGTAAACTGGGCGCGGGAAATGCCAGACAGCCAAATGGTACAGGAGGGCAAATACCCCGGACTCTTCCTTGGAGGACCGTCGATTGATTACGCTGGACTTGCTCGTTCTCAAGGGTGTGGATGGCGAACGGGTCACCGACCCTTCTGAACTGGAGGCAGCGCTCAAGCGGGGAATTGACTGCATCCTCAAAGAAAATCGACCGTATCTGCTTGATGTTGTCGTAGCGCGAGAGGGGATCGGGCATGAGTCCGAATGGCATCAAGGCTGGCAGATGTAGAGCCAATTTCCGCGTTCTGTGTAGGAGGAAAAA